GCACCCTCGTACATGTGGCAGCTTTAGGCCATAAACTACAGTAGAAATAAATTCTTAACCTTTTATATATCATAAAATGATTTGGAGGATGCATTCAACTTGGATCTTCATCTTCAGCTTAGACCATTATTATCATATCACTAGTATTATATGTTGTTATATTTTAGATATTTTTGGGAAAAGTAGCTAATGTTGGTCATAACATTCAATATTTTTCAAATTGTTGGAAATGTCAATCTCTTTGTCAACTTTTGTTAAAAGCCAGTTAATGATGTGTGAGATAGAAACCAAAAGTGCTTTGCAAGGCACATTGTTCCCTTCTGTCCTAATGGAGTACAGCATGTGTGTTAGTAAGACAGCTATGCTGCTTGATTAGTTAAAGAAAACTGCATGAAACATTCCATCCTGAGACATAATCAAAACCTCTTCAAAACCACTCGTTACGACATCGGGGACCTAGAATTCTCCATGAGCCTGTTTGCCCTTCAAAGAGTCCTAGCCAGGGAAGAAATACCCTAAAGGGCTCTACAAAGGGTGTCTTGTATGGTCCTTTAAGACTCAACTAACGCTGACAGAAATGTTATCTTTGTTGCTTAGGGAGCTTGAGGAGGGCAAGAACATCCCAAAGGGCCCAACAACGGTTTTAGTTCAAGTCCTCGGGGCCAAAATGGTGTAAGATCAGACATTATCTTTGCTGCTTAAGGCCCATGGAGGTTATGTAACGTCCTTGAGGGTCCTATCAAGCATCTATTGTTAGTGATGCAGCCACCCAGCATGATTCCTTTATTGTAGAACTCAGCAGGAGAGCCTGCTGTCAGATGCTGTTATCTGTGCCTTCAACGAGACAGTCTCTGCTGTAGGGAGCCTGCAGGGTGTTACTGTTTAAAGGGCAGGTCCACATTTAAACTAACAGGAAAAGAAAAGAGAGGAGAACCTCAAATGACAAAGGATGTAATGTAAACTCAGGCCGGATAATCACTGATTCAAAAATATATGTAAGATTTTGGAGGTAGACAAAATACTGTAGATGCTGTTACAAAATGATCCAAGTTAATCAACTGGGGAGGGCAAGAGAAAAAAAGAACTACTGTTTTTGTTTTTTGTTTTTTTGCTATATTTTGGCAATTTTTTTGTGTTATCTGCAACACTAGCAGCTTTCTTTCTCTTTTTGTTTTTCTCATCAAACACACAAACATGATCAAGGTAACAGTGTCAGAAAGGGAATATGAGATGCTTGTTACATTCAAAGTCAGTCAGAAGCAAAGGAGGAGGAGAGGAGATTCAAGAGGAAAAATACGAGGGAGGAAGGTGGGGAAGGGAGAGTATGAGATAAAGATGAGATAAAGATGAGCAAAGGGTAGAGATGATATGAATATGTGATGGGGTGGAATGAGAGAAAGGAAAAGATGGCATAAGGGAGGGAGAACAGGTTAAAGAGAAAGGTGAGAATAATCAATAAAGTGATAAGTAAATGGAGAAAACTGTGGAGAAAAGTGGACTGTGCAGAGAGCAAATTGAACTGAAAGAAGTCATAATTGAAGGAAAGGATGCAAATGAAGAGAGAGAGGAGGACAGAAAAGAGTTGAAAAGCAGCTGAGGGAAGATGGCAAGAATAGCATGAAACTAGAGAAGGAATTATAAGAAAAGATGATAAAGAAGAATAAAGATGGAGGGTATTATCGTTTCCTATCTGCCATTAATAATTCAGCCTTTATCGATCTACCTGAAGACTTCTTGCTGCATTAGGAGTGTGTGTGTATGTGTGTGTGCGTGCACACACACATACACACACACACACACACACACACACCCACCCACACACCTTTACACACACACACACAGTATTTATGAAATTTACCCATGCTCTTGGGCATAGTCTGAGTGACCTTGTATTATTGTTGTGTGTGTGTGTGTATGTGTGTGTGTGTGTGTATATAGAGGTGTTATATAAATCTGGAGTCCTTGCGTGCCTGTCACTGAGTCTGTTTGAAAGGCCAGCGGCAGGCTGCTGAATCAACGGGCACATCTCAGCCGCCTCCTAGTTTCATATGCATACGTGCGCGCGCACACACACACTTGCTTAGAGAGGAACATCGAAGAACAAATATGACATGACACACACCCTTCTATCTGATCAGCAGGGTTTAGCAAATCTCTGTAGCCTAAATAACAATCTGCCCACCCAGAGTGGCGCCACTGACTGAAGCTTTGTGTGCGTGTGTGTGTGCGCGGTGCATTTCCTGAGATGGCCTTTTGACACAAGAGATTTCTTGTGTCTTGTGCTGCTCAGTGCTTGATCTTCTCTTTGTCTCTCTGACTCACAGTATTCAGATGTAACATCATTATTGTCATTCTTCTTTGCTGTTTTGGCTCTTGCTGTCTGACACACACACCCTCCAAGGTCATTTCATGTCAGTATGGGGAGGGATTCGAGGAGTACACAATGTTCTGACCATGTTGTCCTTTTCCCCTCTCTCTCTCTCTCTCTCTTCCTCTACAGCTCCAACCTCTCCCCTATATCCATCCTGCCTGCTGACTCTGCTGAGTAAGTCCACACAAACACTCCTGTAATTTTATCCACTCATGATAACATAAAAAGGCTATTCTCTATGTACACACACTCATACACACACCTAAAATTCTAGCTACCTAAGAAACTAATCGGAAAAATTCTAAGCACCAAGCAAGCAGTTATATCCTGCAATTTTTATTAAGAGAATAATAGAAAAAGTGCAAACAAGGGGTAAAAGACAGACTTAGGTTAGGTGAAGTGTGAAGTGGGACAATAGGACTATCTTCTCCAGAGGCAGATAAAACAACAGGAATGAAGACGGATGAAGGGCTGGCAGCGCTGGGAAGAGTCGAGTTAAGAGCTAAAGAGGAAGTAATAAGGAGGAAAGCTGACCTTGTGTTTTGATTATTAAGCCAAACTAAAACGTTTTGCATTGCTTGGTGCTTTCACTGCCCTAAGGACATGAACTCAGCAATCACATGACTTCCAGGCCTCTGCTTCTTTACTGCATGACACGCAAGCGGAATAAAATCATTTTCTATGGTGCTGTACATTTATGTGACTTAAGTGACCTGAAGGCTTGAGGGCACTAACACAAGCTGTTTCATTGCTCAGGAATAACACATGAAATGGCTGCAAAAGGTCTTATCAAAAATAATCACATACTCATTTTCACCAATTGCATCTGTTGACATCAACATAGTATAAGGCTGCAACTAGTTATTTTTATTATCGATTGACCTGCTCATGATTTTTGGTCTCTCAGATTCCGGAAAATAGTGAAGAAAATCTCATCACAATTTTTAAAAAATTAAAATTTTTAAATGTGACATCTTCAAATAGTTTGTTCTATCTGGGCCAACAGTTTAATACCATAAAATATTCAGTTTATTTGTATGGAAGAGAATAATCATCACAATTTTAGAAGCTTGGAAAAGGGAGTGTTTGGTAGTCTTGCTTAAAAATTACTTAAATAATTAATCATTTATCAAATTAATATTCTGCTGATGGACTGGTTGTATGAATAATTGTTTCAGCCGAGTGGCACATCATTTCTCTTTCAGGGTGGCTTCTTTCATAATTTTCAACATGCCAAGAAAGACCTGTTTGGCTTAGCTTTTTATGTTTACAAAATAAATCAGAAGGTAATAAATCAGTAAGTATTGGTGACAGTAAGTCATAAATAAGTCAGATTTCATCTAGATAAACAAACACCTGTGCAAGATGAAATTCCAAGCAGACGATTGGATAAATAGTTTAGAGCTGAAAGTGAAAACTGAAAATATGAGAAATAACTGAGTTGAGTTGATCATTCCAGCTTCCAAAATGAGAGGATTTTCTGCTTTTGTTTGTCAAATATCATTGTAAACTGAATATAATGGGGTCTGTTAGATAGATATCATGTCACCTACAAGCTGTAGTAATTTTATCTGGTAATATAATAGATGAGGGACTCAGTTGGTTTGCTTTGCTGTAAACAGTCTGAAACAGATAGTGTGTGCTGTACATTTTCTCACATCATTTGATTTGCTATAGCACCCTACCAGATGTTCGACTGGCTTCTAGGTGTCACACAAGCACATTAACTGTTAGCACATTTCCAGAAGTGCGTTAGTTAGCTGCAAGGGCCTCGGTGGCGTAATTAACATCTTCACTTTCCTCTGGTTCCCAGGATGTGTTCAAAAGGCCTGTCCTCTGTTTCAGACAAAACGTAGACAATAGCAACAATAAAATACAGTGCTTTTCTGGGCAATGTGTGTGTGTGTTTTGTATGAGTACTCGGAGCTGTGTTTGTGTGTGATGGATAGTTATTATTAGTGGAACTTCGTGCAGCGAGAGCCAGAGTTGCTGCTACAGGCGAAAGTGGGCATGTGGTCCAGGGAAATGTGTCCACAAAGGTGTGTGTTTGGCTGATATATCCACAACTCGCACACATTCATTTGACCTGAGCCCAGCACATTTATGAGATTTTGCCTTAAATGGACATAGTTGTGAAAGCCAAACACAGTTATGATCCAGCTCCAAGTCTTCCATTTAAAATCATGTAACTTTGTTTGTGCCTATATTCCATGTGGTGGCACAGAGCAAATTTAACTAAAGAGTAGAAATGTTACATATACTATTAATGTACAGAGAAAACCATAGATTAAACCAGATGAACTACAATCCATCAGGAGAGCAGTTGGTGTGGAGGAGTTGGAGTGAGCTGGGAGTTTTCCCAGTCTATGTCTGTTTCTACCAGGTTTTCAACCTTTACTACTGTTGAAGCTGGAGGAGAGACAAAGCTAACAGAATGCAAGAAGCCAAAGTGAATGACGAAAGAATAGATGATGATCACACACGCGTGGTCCAGTAAATAAAGCAAGCTGAATAAAATCTTACTAGAGCCTGTGGATCAACTGTTGCATGTCAGTGTAGCAGAGGTCAGAGTGTGTCTGCTGCTGTTACCTTTTAAAGGCTGTAATGTCCTCTCCTCTCCAGCTCTCGTTTAAGCATTATTAATCCTTTTAGGACAAGACCAGGTTATTGACTTAATAAGGATTTGTCAAATAGCCCAGAATGGAAAATAAAACATTTCATAGATTATCAGGCTTTCCAAAATGTTTGATACATTACTAACCTTAAGTAACTGTCTCTTACTACATAAACCTCATTGCCAGATGTATTTCTGTATTAGGCAAGGAACTAAACAGACTGGTTTGGATTTTAAAGCTACAGCCATTAGTCTGTTAATTCATTAGTGGAGTTCTTTCTATTCATTAATAGAGGTTGATGACAGGTAGGATTATGTGAGGAGGATTACATGTGGTTCCAGAGGTGAAGGTTTTAACCTGCACATCATTACTGGGCACTGGCAAACCTTCCTCTGAAATCAAAGATCTTAATTAAATGGTTGAACAATCCACTGAGCTTATTGGATTCACTATAACTGAACAGAAGAGCACATAAATTAATCTCATGTAGAGACAACTCAGCAATTGAAGACAACGGAGAGCATTACACGTATTACTTTATTTAACTTTAATGTTCAAATATTACAGTGATCAGTCTTTGTTCTGATCAATTAGAGGAAATAGGATTGTTTATTTTTTCCCAGTCCCACCACTGCTGAACAAAAACATGGTTACAGGATCTCATTCAAAGTAGTAAAGGTAAATCTTTAGCTCTGGTGCTGTGTAGACAAACTCATCAGTAAACTGAGCTGTGACAGTTTACCCTCATTACAGTTGAACTAAACTCATTCCAGTGAAGAAACATGGACTCCATTGTTACTCATTATAAAACATGGATTTAAACAGAGCTTAAAGTTAATTTTCATCTGCAGTCTCTTAACAGGTCACAATTAAAACATACACACAGTGACAGAACAACACTTAGCAGACTAGACAAACAGGACATACCATACAAAGTTGCACATATTTTCAAAGCTTCATGTCCACTGAGGTCACCCTTATGAGCTAAATAAATGTTAAGGTGTATTTTAAGGTGTCACAAAAATCTGTTAGCCTACCTGTGTATTTTTACAGACGCTAGAATCAAGAATCAATAAAAACATAAAAACATGTTATATAAAATACGCTTTTTAGTCAAAACATAATGCATCTTCCCACACCACACACAGTAGAAAAACATGTAAATACACATAGGAATATCTGTAAAATTAATCAAGTGAATGTATGTTTGTGTGTTTTCCCAGGATAATTCAGCGAACCATCAGGGCTGCAGTGGAGCAGCACTTCTTTGAGCTGAAAACCTCCATCGACCAAGACCTCAGCAACTACGACAGCCCGGGGTGAGAATGCACACACAAAAACATACAATACAATACAGACATACACAAAAAACCAAAAGCACTTAAGGTCCCATATTTGAAATTTTTCCTGCTTTATTTGAACTTTTTATATCCATAAGAAGATATATTTGTGGTTTTAAAACCATCTCAATACAGTTTTACATAATCTCTCTCACAGTTCCTTCAAATGTAGATAGTCAGTCAGCGTTTCGAACGTTCGAGTGTTCAAAATTCGAACCTAAATGCTATATACTTATACTTTAGCCCCTGGTCTATAATATAACTGTTTGGCTTTCCATCCAACAGTTGTGCAGTGTTTCCTCAACATTTTTCTGACTTGTGGCTCGCTAAACCATTGACAGAATGACTGCTTGGTGTTGTGTTGTTAATAAAGTTAAAACAGCAGGTTGGACAGGTGGGCCGTGCTGGGGGCATACCTGAAAGTGCTGGCTGTATAGTTGTGACATCACAAAGTTACTGAAGTCCTGACAGCTTGTTTTAAGGCTCAGTTTCTGAATAAAGGCTGTGTGCATTTCCCTGTGGAATGAGCACTTTGATATTTTCACAGTATTTATATAGCACCTAGACCTGCTTTATAATCATGGAAATGTGTACAATATGAGAAGTTTATATCAAGATTAAGCACTTGCCACGACATTTTTTACACACCTTTGGGAAGACTTTGAAGTTTCACCTGCTGGTAGAAACATGCGTTACACATATTCCTGGGTGGCTGAAAGTGGCATTGAATGACCTTAGAGAAACATATTTGACATAGTGAACACTGTGTACAAAGGCACAAAGCCAATCGGATGGCTCAGGTTGCCAGTAAACATGTTGACAGTAGTGTTGTTAATAAGCAAATTGTACTTGTTGAAACGAGCAGCTGTTCAAGTTGGCAGTCACCTCCAAGACAAAACAAGATGTAAAGGAATTTGTGGTTTCCAACATCAAAGAGACATGACATCATTAAGGTTTTGCTCCACATACTAAAATAGACAGTTTTATCTGCACCTGCATAGCGAAGTGTTACAGTTATTAGTTTATATTTAAAATGAAAGTACTTACCACATTTCATTTACTTTTTGAATGTTATTTTCAAGGGTGAGTCCCAGTGAGCCTGCTGAAGAGGGTTGCCATGGAGATGAGGAACAACAAACGGACCCTGAGGACAGTCCCTGCGACACAGAAGGGGATACCCCACTCACAGAAAATGAGCAACACATACAACAAAGCCAGACCGTCACACAGGTCTGTTGGTGACACAGCAACACACACATAAACCTATACCACACATACACCTGCATGTTCACAAACACCCTGTCAGTGTTTTAGCTCGCATCCTAATAGACATCAAGCATGCACACAGCCAGAAACAGCACAGAATCACCCATGTTCACACGCTTATTAAATGTTAACGTAAATGGAACAATGGCAAAGCATAATTGTCTTGCCTATGTACAGAAATTGAAAGTGAAAATATTTGACAACACACACTCACACCATGGAAATTTCCCTCTAAACACACAATGCACAGACCCAAACCAGTTTCTGTGTGGGCTGGCAGCATATTTCCCACAACTGACCTCCTTCCAGCCTCAGTGTGTCGGTTCATTCGAAGGCTGAATGTTTGTTACTATCACCACAATCCATCTTTGTCCTGCTCTGATTGTTACAATAGCTAGAATTCTACCAGGGCAGCAAGCAGAGAAAACAACAAGCCTGTTGCACAAATACACACACGCACACACACACACACAGATCATCAATGAATACACAAATGCATACAGACTGTGTCTTGTTCTAACTAACATCAAGTCATGAGGGAATGACGTATATTTAAAAAAAAAAAAAAAAAAAAGAAGAAGCTTTTTCAGTGTGAAAGAGGTGAAAGAAATCTATCAGAGGTTTACCCAGAGAGGGTTTGCAATGTCCACTTTTTGTAACTTTGTGAAATTGATCGTTTCCCCTGGAGGTACATAGATTCTCAACATTTGGGTAAATTTTTTTATGTCCTGCCATCATGGTACAGCATATGCGGGACATGTCGTCATGCTGGCATCGCTGAGGAAACACTGACCTCCCAGAAATTGAAACAAGTTCAAAATGATACCAGATGTTTGTTTTTTTTTTTACCTCTGTTAGCATTCCTGATGACATTCTTGATGACAAACTATTAGGCAAGGCAAGTTCATTAATTTCATTTATCTAGCACATTTCATACCCAGGACAAGATTAAATAAAAACACCAAAGGACAACTAATAGACCAGTCCCCGATGATCTGGAGGATCTAGTAGATCCATTTAGGGCCAAACCTGTAGACTGATTTAAAACCAAGTAAGATGATTGTTAAATCACTTCTAAAACTGACTGGAAATCGTTAATCAGCTTTTCAAGGTCATGTCTGGACAACAGGTCTGTGATTGTGGTGATATATTTTTAATGATAAACGGCTGATTTCAGAGTTGACTTGATCTGACAACTAAATATAACGGCCAGGCTTCTTACAGATTTGTCTCTTATCATGGAGATCCTGGCAGGACATAAGGCAGTCAAGGTGCCTCTTTTCTTTTTCAGTGTTCGTCACATACATTTTTAGTAAGTCTTGTCACAGTGGAAAACCCCTTGATACTACTACTACCCCCTTTGAGCCTCAGTGGCTCTTGTCCCAAGAGCCATTTTAGAGTCCAGACGGCAGGAGAGGGGTGAAGAGATGCAGGCAACATGGCGGTCAGAGTGAGATGTGTCCAGGGACTGATGAGAATCCTGTCATTTCTGTAAACAGTAATCTGGGTCCAACTTTAAATAGATCACAAAGGCATGCATGAGCACCAGGCCCCAATGCTCACAATGCACTGTTTACTTTCTTTATATAACAGGTATTCACACTGATATGCATATACATTGAGACATCATACTGCTCTTTACTACAACTCATTAATTCTGCAGTCATGTGATAGCTGCCTCTTCATGAAGGCTCACAACATTTCTGTTTAGTTTAGTGTATGACCTTAACCTCCAGTGTTCAGTAACAGTGTAGTATTATTTAAATGGTTCCAATGAAACGTACCAGTTTTGGGGAGGGTTGGATAAATAGTTTTGAAGTCTAGCAGTAATGATGGTAAAACCCCTTCTCCTTGACCTTGGGATTTTTTCATATATTGGAGCTTTGCACTGAAAAGGGGAAGCGAGATAAGACGATTAATAATGAGATTAACATACTGTTTACCTCATTGTTTCCTGAGTAATTTAAGGGTCATCTTTATGAGCGGTCATGGGTAGGGCCGCCACATTTGAATATTTATTTGTGCCATTTATTTTTATCTAAGATTGCTTCTCAAAAGAAGTGAAACTACACACATGCTGTGTGTGGTTTCCAAGAATAGGGATGCACCTGTTTCTGTTAGAGTCCCAATTTAACACAGTTTCTATTCTTGCCCATTTATATCTCATGCTCTGCTCTCCTAGTTGTGTGCAACTCCAATTCTTATAAACAATCATAAAAACAAGAAAATTAATCTGAAATCTTTTCTGGTGTTTTCTTCCAGGATTCACCGGACTCTGGTGCCACCCTGGAGGAGAGCTTAGGAATGGACCTGGATGCAGAGGCTGTCAGAGATGCTGAGAACAACATCAGTACTGCCAGGTGAGCTACCTAATGTATAGTTTACTTTTAAGCCTTCAGTGAATTCCGTTTTAGCTCAAGTCAACAAATAACAAGTAACTTCACCAGAGTGAGATGCTTTTTTATTCTAGTTTTTCATTTTTCGAGAGTCGAATTAAGAGTTTAAAAGATCAAACACATTTGGACTAAATTTAGACTTAATTTGGACGAGGTAGATAGATGTGTGTGTTATATGTAGTGAATCTAGTGAATGTCAGTGATGTGAAGAGAGGACTTTCCTCTTTCCCAGAGAGAGTGGAATTCTTTTTCTTTAACATGTTCAAACAAGGGGCAGTGATGTTGTCATGCACTGATCACTTGACACCTCACGTTTCTAAATCACTTCGACATGCTGTCTCAGCCGAAGTTCCTTTTTTACGCTGCATCATATCTCATGCTGTATTATGGCTCCAGCTTGTGATTGTTAACAAACATAGATAATGTGCTACGTTCGATTTGACATGTAGCGTTAAAACTGTAAAACTGGTTCAGGCAGCCACTGCTTTAATACTGTTTCACGCCTATTCAGGTAAAATGGACAAAAGTTAATAGGCAGGACGACATGATTGATAGATCAGTAGACACAACAGAGAGTTGTGTGTGTAGAGTATTTTGTTCATTAATTTAAGTCATCAATTTTTAGGTATATCTTATGTTTCTTATCTTTGATTTCAGGCAGGACAATCAAACCTGTGACACCATGGAGCAGACCGACACTATAAGCTGTGTAAGTATCAGTATGTGGGAATGCATCACAGTGTATGTGTATGATCTGTGAAAACGTTTAGCAAAATATTGCTCCAAATTTCTGCCACACCATCTCTCCACCTACTGTACTTTCCTTCAATTTTCCTTCTTTTCTAATTCATTGCTCTCTTTCTGTCCTCCATCCACTCTCCCTTACATTCCTGCCGTTATCTTCAGTTAGTTGCATCTATTTTCTTCATTTCTTCCATCTCTTATTTGTTTCTTTAATGCTTCTCGCTCTCTCTCCCTCCAGGACTTGAGTTCATGCCGCTGCGATCAGAACGCCAACACCAGCGAGACCAATAGGAATCACCTGTCGCCATGCCAACCAAACTCTGGCCACAACCCCCACCTCCAACTCTTTCCTGACAACCAGTGGGAAGGTATAAAATCTCCCTGTCTCAGCAATACCAGCACGCTCTGTGTTCACCAGCAAAACAAACAAAAAGTGTAAATTATTTTGCAATATTTTCAGATAGTGTCAAGTAATTGAAATAGTGCCTGAGAGAGGATGGGCTCTTCTCATGGTTCTCTACATTATCTCATTTTCTTTTGATTTATTTAATTATTAATCTACAAAACACATTATATCCTTGTCTCTAAATTATTTACTTTCTCCCAGTTTAGTAGAATGCAGTTATTCTGCAATGTTAGTCCGTATGATTTGAGGTTTGAGTCACCTGTAGAGTACTGTTGTTGTCTTGGATACCATTAAAACTTTTTTGACTCTGAGACTTAAACGCCCCCAGTATTTATAACTGAATCTTCAAATTAATGAACAATTAGTTGGTTAATCTATTATTCAACTATTATTCAAATTGAATAATTATTTCTAAATTTTTAGGAAGAAATTGGAGCTTCGAGCTTCTCATGTGTGAGAAATTAATGCTAAATGATTAATCAGTTAATCAAGAAAATAATCTGCAGATGAATCAAAAATGAAAATAATTGTTAGTTTCAGTCTTACTTCCAAAACTGACTTTTAGGCCATTAGAAAACTGTTGGGGCTTTCCTTCTCCTTTATTTCTCCATAATTCTGTTGAATATCTGTTGGGACTGAGGAAAAACGTGACCTCATTCCTTTTGCATTTATACCAAACACATATGCACAAACACTGAGTGAATGTTCGAGAGTGAAGTTAGGAATGATTGACCTCACCACTCCTCTTCTCTGCTGCCTCTCTCCCTATCCCTCCTCTTTCTGCTCCTCCTTCTTATTCCCCTCTTCCTCCTCCTTGTCTTCCCTCCATCCAAACAGCGTCACCTCCCTCTCATCTCCACCTCCCTCCCATAGACTTCTCATGTATGCATCTGCAAAAAGAAGGCCAAGGTAAGTAGTCTCATATCAACCCAACCATTCACCAGTCAACCCATCCTCCCGTTCATCCTTTATTGTTGATTTTCCTCCTGCTGGTTGCTCTGTGGTTTGGACACAGTATGGAAACTTGATTAATATATTCTCACAGTTTTAAATTTGCTTGTGTCATACTGATGATGAATAAATCCCTGCATGTAAAACACTCTTCCTTCCATCAGTTGATGAGACGTCTGCTTTTACTTTCTCTCTTTGCTCTTCCCTCCTGCTGCAGGCTCACTTGTGACTGATCAGGACACATTTTCCTCTCTGAATACACTTTTTCCCCTGACTCTGCTCCTCTGTGTCTCAGCCCTGTCTCATTATCTTTCTGACCCCTCCTTCACCCTCTCCTTTCTCCCTTTTTCCCCTTGACTCAGCTTGTTAGCATAGCACTGACAATAAGTGAGTGACTCAGCAGGGTACTGAAGAAGAAAATTAATTTATGGTTCAATGTCTCAGCTCAAAAGCCCCCTCTCAGGCAGCTTTTGTGTATTGATATGTACACTACCTACAACACTCTTGATAGTCAGGGATTAAATTAGACTTTTCTCTCCCTCTATCACTGACCTCCGTTGACTTGCTCTGACGCCGTCTTCTCTCTGTTTCTTACCTCCTCTCTCCAGACCCCATCCCGGCTTACAAATCCTGGCAGGATGACAGCGAGAGTGGAGAGGCACAGCTCTCCCCCCTGGCTGGTCGCATGGTTCCTCTCCCCCCGCTGCCCCTGGAGGAGGAAGGTGAGGATGAGGAGGGGGAGGGAGGGCAGGACGCCTCCCCCTCTTCTTCACGCTCCCACCCTCACCTTCTAGCCCGACGCTTCCTCGACTTTGGAGCGCACGGTGCCCAACGCTTCCTCCAGCAGGACCCAGACGCCACCTCACCCACCAAAGCACAGAGGTACGATGAAGCACAGACAACCAGCAGTGCTAATTAAGTGTATAATCTTTGGTCCAAGTTAGACCATGAATGTCTAGTTTGTGGTGCACTTTGATCAGGCCGCGGCGAGCATCGTTTGGCTCCAAAGAGGCGATGAGAGGAGGAGATTCAGTGACCCACCAACTCACGAAGAAGCTACAACACCTGAAGAAGAAAATCAAACAGTTTGAAGAGCAGTTTGAGAAGGAGAGGAACTATAAGGTAGAAATATAAATTTGAAGTAACTATAGAACGTGTATATTGATATTGATGGAAACAACCAAAAAATCCTGCAGTCAATCACATTTCAGTCTTTAGAACTCCTCCTGGTCCTCCTCTGTACGTTAAGTTGTTCTGTCTCCTCAAATAATGAAAAGCCCAAAATATAAATTACATTGATGTATCATAAATACTGCACAGGACCATAGACCACTACAAGCCGATGGAAAAATAGAAAGAGTGATTTATGAGGCCAGAAATATAGGGTTTATTCACTTTGTCATTAATTGGTTCAGATGAGTTATTTTCAGCTAGAGCCAATGTTCCGGTTTGGTGCATAAAAAACTATGTCTGAAATTATAAATAAACATTAAGAGAAACAGAAACAAACAGCTTTGAAGTAGCCATAAACCTCTGAGGTGACACTGAGGTTGATCTATATTGGATCCCTACACAGTGCTGAATGGGGTCTCAAATCCTGATAATTTATTATTTTGCATTTTGAGTCTTGCTGTGTAAAAGCATAAGCTAACTGATTAAATTGTTCTTCCTCTGTTTCCCTACAGCCCTCTCATGGAGACAAGGCAGCTAACCCCAAAGTCCTCAAGTGGATGACCGACCTCACCAAGATCCGCAGGCAGATTAAAGGTAGAACCACTCGCTCTTTCTCCTGTGAATGTGTGTGTGTGTGTGTGTGTTTGTGTCGGGGTTAGAGTGTCTGTGTGCCATCCTGTTCCATGCTGGACAGCTTGACCCTCCCCACTCCTAACCTTTGACCTTTATAACAGCACCGCATGTATGCTGGTTTAACACACATAAGCAGACACGCACATGCCAGGGGTTAACGTGGCTCTCATATGCGTGGCTCCCACCCTCCAATGTGCTGGTGCGTCCTTGTGAACCCACATTCATTACCTGAGGTGAGCTCAGTAAGGTGAAACTGTGGAAAATACTTTATGCATAACACCTTTACAAAATAATTGGAAAAATCTTCAAAACAACCTTAATTTTGATCAGTAAATGCCAAAGTTTGAAATGTGTTTTTTTTGTCCTTTGGTAAACTGGTGTTCTTTCTTATTACATGGGAATTAAAAGAGGGTGAATTGATTAATATTATCTAATACACTGAATCTGATAAATATGAATCCATTACTACACTGCAGTTTCTCTAGCACAGTCCATCGTTTCACCATACTGAACAATCCCCAATGACACTCGTCCACCTCTCCTCTGTGAGGTGACGGCTCTCCTTTTTGGAGAACGCAGTGGCCGAAACATTTCTCTCTCTGTTTCAAATCAAAATTGAAAATCAACAATAACGCGAGCACCCGCTCTCCACTTTCCTCCCTCCTCCTCGTCGTCCTCCTATCGCCCAACGACCGATTGATTGATTGATTGACTGACTGATCGGCCAACCAGGACGCCAGCACCACCTTTTACCCAGAAGCACGCTGAGGCACCAGGCTTTGCTCCATTCACACAGACGCCACCATGCTCCCTCCTCCCCTTCCTCCTCCTCCTCTATCTGCTCACCTCCCCATCACACACTCACCCCCCCGCTCCACCCCTACTCAGGCCTGAGCTCTAGACCGTTTCACCTCAGTAAGTACCAACCCCTCAGTAAGTAGACATTACATACATTACTGACAGTCACAATGAGGCGGCACTGTGAGAGCATCTTGCTTCTTTGTTCTGTGTATTTCCTGTTGAAACAGCATGTTGGCACTTAATAGTTAACTAGCGGTGTGTGTGACTGAAGTAACGTGAGGAAGCCGAGGGTTTTGGTTTGAAAATAAAAACATATGATTGAGGTATTTATTGATAAATACACATTTAGACGTGGAGTATTTTCTTTAGGCTTTAAAAAATAGATTTTATTTGATTGTGACAAAACTGCACTAAAACTTTTTATTATTAAAGTTATATTTCTGTACAGCCTAAGGAAGAGAGAGCACCGGTGGTACGTAACTGAACAGAACTTAAATTAAAAATCGGCACAATCAGCAGCATCGTGTCCCTGAACCCATTAGATTGCCCCAGGGGACTGAATTTTGAACAATTTTACAATCATACATTGTTAGAAAATGTTCAGGAAAAGGGTTTTTGCTTGCTGTATTTGGGCTTTTATTTAGTGTGGTGGTGTGTGTTTTTGTTGAGGGCGTGTGTGTGCATGCTCATATTGTGATTAGCTCGCCTTAACCACCACAGCTGTCTAGTAAACTCCTGCATGGCTGATCGTCCAATCAAAGATGTTTTATGTGCTGCCTGAAGACTTAAGGTTTTCTCCCCATTGTCTCATTTTCTGCAACCTGCCCTGGTTCCTTCTTTTATACTTTACTCTCTCTATCCCCTCCCCTTTTTTCATTCATCTCCTTCCTCATCACTTTATCCCTCCATCCTCAGATGCCAAACACCGTGCAGAGAGCGAGCTCGGCCCCCAGACTCGTCCTCGGAGCAACACCTTGCCCAAGAGCTTTGGCTCCACACTGGATCAGGGTGCCTGCGATACAGCGGGGGAGGTCAAAGGTCAGCGTCCCACCAGGGAGGAAACACTGGAGCTGATCCAGCGCAGGGTCAAAGGGAAGCGGCAGGAGGACGGCTGGCCTGATGACATCAAAGTGAGTAGAAGATATTTTTGCTAGAACTCACTTTAAGGCCCTGCACACCCAGAGATGTCTTTAATACTGTGGTTAGACATCTGCTAAGAAAAAAGGTGTGTGGAGCTGTGCTGGTAATTACATTATTTCACCAAACTCCATGTACTAATAAGAGACAAGTTTTTAAGTTGTCCACCCCGAACAGGTGAAACAGACTAAGTTTGGGAAATGTCAGCCATTAAAATCTAATCACACAAATTGAAAACACCTGTGCAGAGGTGTGTATGGTCTTTAGGACCTAGAAAATAGAACGATCTTTTTGGCTCTTTTGAGAAAACAGTCGATGGATTCTGCCTGGCATTGAGTGATCCTCACTTGCTTCAGAGATAAGATAAAACATAATTGCAGAAATAAAATTAATTAATTAATTTAACAATTTATTTGTAACACAAAGCAAAAGTGTGAGTTAGATAATCTCAATTTACAATATTACACTTGAATTGGCATGAAACATGACATTGAAAATGAGCTCAGCGATGCACATTTACAAACTGTGGCAGATCACAGCTGTGCAATATTATATTAATATCTGCAGCTTGCACAAGGCATTGGAATAGAATCTGTACTGAGTTAATGTTACTGTTAATCACTGTTAACAACAATAATAATTATAACTAGAGCTTCAATAGGGTCCTCGCACCTTTGTATTAAGGAAGAGGAGCTTAAAATCAATTCTAAATGTAACAGGGCGCCAGTGCAGAGCAGCTATTACATGATTAACTGTGTCTGTCTTTCTGTCTCTGTAGAAGATGACAAAGGAGCAGTTGTCCTGTGAGAAGACAGTCCTGCAGAAGAACCTGCTGCACTATGAGGGCCTGCACGGTCGACCGGTAAGTTACCAACATCACAAATCCTGATTAGATGTCAGTTCATCAAAACACATTCAGACTTTTTCTGACCAGCTCTGTCTCTCTCTCTCTCTCTCTCTCTCTCTCTCAGGTGACCAGAGAGGAACGTCTGGTGGTGAAGCCTCTCTACGATCGCTACAGATTGGTCAAACAGATGCTCACCAGAGTTAGCATCACACCTGTCACAGTAAGTACACGTAAAGTCAGTGTTACATTTATTTTACCATGTAAGCAACATACTCACTAATAATCTAAAATAACCCCCCTTCCTCATCACTTTAACCCACCCCCCACCGCCCTCAGGTGTCCCCTTCCAGTAAGAGGCGGAGTCAGACCCTCCAGCCAATCATAGAGGGTGAAACTGCTCATTTCTGGGAGGAGATCAAAGAGGAGGAGGAGGACGAGCGTAAAGGTGGTGGTGGAGAAGAAGATGATAGGGAGGATGAGAGGGAGGAGGAGGAAGAAGATGAGGAAGAGGAGGGAGAGAGCAGTGGTGGGGAGATGCAGAGCTCCGAGGTCATCATGGCCGTTGACCTTGTGTCCCCGACCGACAGGCAAGTGAGGAGCCAGAACCAACCTGACAGCGACGGCGACTGTCCAATGAGAGCCAAGCTTGAGGAAGGGTCAGGGAGGCTGGCGCTCGACCTGCGACTCTCCAGCTCCAATGCCTCATCCATGTAAGAGCAAACAAACCACACAGTTAATGTGCACCAGGAAAACACCTGAGTCACAGATACCAGTTCTTTTATTTACATTGACAGCTGTAGGAAAAATCCACCAGGGTCTAATTCTCGCCATTGTGCCTTTTCAAGTACGAGTCATGCTTTCTCACCACCTCTGTTATAGGGCTTGTGAAAATACAGACTCCAGCAACACTGTATCACTTTTACATAAATCATTTCAAACACTTTTCTCCATCCTTCATCTGTGTCGTCTGGTTTGAATAAATATGGTCGGACATCATAGTGAAATGACTAACAGTCATCCAATATTTGTCTACTACATAACATTACAATCGTTTTTTTTTTTTTTTTAACGTCAATGCTCTTGAGCACAATCTGAGTCGACGGTGACCCACAGCCTCACACAAACCGCCAGAAACAGAACAGGCAGCATTTAGACTCGGAGACGAGCATTTGAAAAGATTTATATAAGTTTTAAAATTAGGAGCCTCATGCTTCTTGCGCTGACTTTGTTTTGAGTCGTTTCTCAACTTGAAGGAATTAACAGCAATGGTGAGGGCAAGTTTAGAATTAGTCCCAATGGCCACAATTAGGGTTGAAAAATAGTGGCCTGTTTCTTGAAAATAGACCACCAGTTTGCAATTTCACATTTGCTGCATCTGTTTTAAATGTTTCATTTATAAAAGACAGCATGGGCAAGTGTTTGAGACATTTACCTTATAACTGTCCAAAAAATGTCAAAACATAAGCTCAGAAAAAAGAAACAGCACAAATAAGAGGATGTGGATATGGGGAAGTTTCCATGGTGACTGCTTTTTAAGAGATTATTTCTGACAGAGACATCTGTTTATTTCTGTGGGTGTCAGGTGATTGACAGCAAAAAGAGTCTAACACTACATACAGTGTGCACTACAACTTAAAAATGCAGGGGGGATAAAAAGGCTTTGTGTTGATTAATTACCATGATTAATTATTCTGTTAGGGCAATTTTGTGTCCTATTTTTTTTTTATACATTGTATTAACTAATATCAGCCTTCTTCTCGTTGGAGTAAAAGACGCTCTGATTATCTTTAACTTTGCAGACAGCAGCAGGAATAATGTAAGACAGGAGGAAAACACAGGTTGTAATCTGTTTAACATGTCACCAAGCTCATAGCTGAAGTTAACACAGACACACACCTTTAATCTCCTTTATCAGATCAGGTTTGTACATTCAGGTCTCTTACCTGGAAATAATCCTGACAACTGATCCTTCATGCCACCACAGTTCACTTCCTGCTGACTTCCCTGGACTCATTTTTAATGGGTCAAGCTCCAAATGGTTCCTGTTAACTTGCAGAGTTGAGAGAATAAATGTGATTATAAAGCATCTCAGGTCTGCCAGCCCCAAAACTCCATTCTTACCTTGTGATATAGATTGAAGTTAAGTGTAGTATTAGTTTTATGGCACAGTGTGCAACTGCATCCTCATGTTTCTCATCATCCTCTAGGCCAGAGCTGCTGGAACAGCTGTGGAAGGCCCGTGCAGAGAAGAAGAAACTGAGGAAGACCATTAGAGAGTTTGAAGAAGATTTCTATCAGCATAATGGAAGGTAGGTGGGAGAGACACTCATCACACAAGGTCTTAGCCCTCATTGAGCCAAGCAAGTCAACTGAAAAACATTTGCCTTCTTGTTGAAATGTGCTGTACAAATATGCTTTCCTTGAAAAAAATAAGTCACTGGTGGAGCTACATCACACAACAAAGACTACGCATTTAATAAGTGAGACGCCTGTTTAAACTGTCATCTTGTAACTACATTGATAATGAGAGGAGATGCGTAAGGATTTGTCTCATCCAGCTTGGCAGGTGACTGATTGATGATTCATTTCACTTTGCAGTAATTAATCAGAGCAGTCTGGAAAAGTAAAGGGAAGACACCCAGTCTGTCACAATCAGGTGCTCAACTGTGAGAAAAGAAAGCTCACTACAGAAATGGCACCAGACTGATGTTAGTTTGATCAACACCAGTTGGACTTAAGGAGGGTTGTGCACATAATCAAATCTGTCAGTGTACATCAGAGTAGAGCAAATGATTGGTTTTAATTGACTGAAAAATAAATATTTTGATAACTGTCAAACATTCTCTAATTCCAACTTCACAAATGTGTAAATAAACAGTAAAATATGCTGAAAAATGAATATTTTATAGCATTAGTCAGACAAGTTTTGCAAATTTTTCCACTTTTTTCACAAATTAAAAAATGTATCTGTAAATAAAATAACAGTTGGTTGCAGTTGCAGCGAAAGAGTCAGAAATCATGCCTGATGATAATTTTTGTTCCTTATACTTCATGTCTTGGATTGATTGGTCTGATTCTGGCAAAATACTGCCACCTTTGTCAAAATCAAACAGCCTCCACAGGGACTTTAGAGTTTCAGTTTATTGCTCAATGGCGAGCTTCAGCAGGACATGAAAATGAAAGCTAACTCTCCCCTCTCTCTCCTCTGCTATAGAAATGTTCAGAAGGAGGACCGGGTGCCGATGATGGAGGAGTACAGAGAGTACAAGAGGATCAAGGCCAAACTCCGGCTCCTGGAAGTCCTCATCAGCAAACAGGATTCCTCCAAATCCATCTAGACCCGCCCTCCTCAGACACCCGCTAACCACGCACACATCAACCGTCATCGCTGCTGAGAGGACCCGCCCAGGACGTCCACCAGTCTGTCGGACATCATCACGCCTGGAAGGGATTCACAAGCACTCCAGCTAACAGTAACCACAACAAGGCGAGTCGAGACTATCAGTCAGACTTCATGATCCCTGCTTGGTCTGGTGCAGTCATGTCATGGAGAAAACTAAATTAGAGTGACGTGCTGGGTCAGAGTTACAGTATACTTTCTTTTTACTTTCCTTCCTGAATGCAGGAAATTTTCCAGTAACATTCTGAGGGACTTTCAGACCTTACCTGTTCTTTAACAACAGGAACCAAGGTGAAGTTTTGCTTCTTGAGTCATAGTTTCTGCCCATAGAAAGTCCCTGAGGTAGTACTTTCTGATGGCCTAGAAACCAATCAACTATTTATGACTGGTCGAACAGCACACAACAAGACTGCTGCTGTTTGTGTACACCATTCATTCGGACTGCAACCAAACCCTGGTTGTTGGTAATATCAGTATTAGAACGAGGGAAGGAGAAATTCTTCCTGACAAGTCAAGAAAAAGTAGTAAGCAAATTATTTAACAGAAACATTTCAAACGCTTTTTACTACTTAGTTGGTCTAATCTGCCAAATCTTTGCAAGTCTTGTGGCAAAAAGTAAAGATGAACGTGCTACAATCACTTTTAGCTGAGTTAATCTGTGGTGTTTGTAGTTATTTAGCTAAAATCTGTTCTTTTTAGCATTTTGACCACAAAAATCACTCAAAACCTAACTTTTGTTCATTTAAAAGAATACATCATTATCTATATGCGACTACAGCTATTTTTCTTTGTTCAGTAATATGGACAAAGGTGACATTTCCCCATGACATGACTGCAGCACCACTACCAGTCAAACTTAAATTCGCTCCGATCAGCCACAGCAAATCTCTGCTGCCTCATCCGACTTCATATCATCTAAAACACGGCCGCAGGTTAAATACAGAGAAAAATGAATCATCACTGTTCGTCTTCATCATCCCACCAACGTGACATAAGACTTTGCACTTGTCTTCTCGTGTTTCATTTCCTCAACTTCTGAGGAAAAATAACAAACATTCTGACTTTTTTATTTCACAAACTTTTCTCTTGTCGATCTTTGTTCTTCACGTTTTTTTTTCCTCCACGCCGAGGAATCTTATCGGACAGCTCTGGACTGGCATTTTAGACTCTCTTCATTCAAGACACGCGTTTGTTTGTTTGGGACGTTGTTCAGTGTGAAAAGTCCCTCTTTCTCCTTGCTTCAGCGAGTCATGATTTCTTAAACCTGCCTCCTTGGTGCGAGGCGAATGATTATTTTATTCTGTCCGTAGAACTTCATCTAACATCTTCATATCCCGGATGCTTCTGACTGATTTTAAAATTAATTCACAAAGTTTAAAAACATGTTTGTGCGTGTATTCTTGTTAAAAAAAAAAAAAAAAATTGTACTCATACGTGTTTGAGAGACACTGTTCATGTTGAATGAAAAAGAATATCTGTTGTATTCCAAGGGAAAATGAAAAAAAAAAAATTGTATCACTTCCCAGTGTGACCTTGGAGCTGTTGTGAAAGACTGATTCTTATTTTCTTTATCATTTATTTCTTTTCTCCAGCATTTTCCCTGAATCTTTGTTTCTGTTTTGGCACCACTTGTCAGGAAAATGTACAGAAGGTTGGCATATGGTGATGTTACATGTTTTTCTTCTTTGCAAACAACAAAAAATAGTTTCCTATGAGACTCTTACTCTGCTTTTAAGTTGTCATAAGCTACAATGTCTGGGTTTTCAAGTCAGCACTGACAGCACTTAAAGGCAGCATTAGACGGAAGATGTTCATAGGAAACAGTCCTACTCAGATTTGGAAATTTTATAATATAGATGGATACGGTTGTTGCAGAAATCATCTGGGAAATTCTGGACTAGTTGTGGCAGGTTCAGAGGGATTATGGGTGATAAACGCTGAGCAAGTATCTGTTCCATGTTGCTTCTTCTTCTCTGAAACCTAAAGCATGTTGATTTCAGGTGAAGGTAGGAAGGTCCGACCAGGTTTTGTATCAGGTAGGGAAGAGCAGGAAGCAGTTGCTGTGCAGCTGCATCTGTGGTTCCTGGTTGAAGCTTGACTGTAGCTTTAAAGGCTGTTTTGTATCGACGAGGCACCGACACTGCCAGCACTGATTTTAAATGCAGAGAAGCAGCTCCATCTGTGGTTAACTCATATTCTTCCCCGAATGATGATGTCTTGTTTCACAGAGATGGTGCTGGAGGTCTGATAAAAGCTTTAGCATAATGTCCACAACACAGAGAGGGAAGTTTTACAGCGAAGAAGGTAAACACAAAAGCAACCTCAGCTGCGTTTCTGTCCATGGTCAGATCTCCAGTTCCAGTGAAGTTTCATTTCCTGCTGGCAGGTAAAATGAGAGCAGGAGAAAGTCAATTTTGCGGTTTGATGCATGCCAACGAGTTTGTCCTCTTTATTTTTCTTCTTCTTCTTAGAGGCCGTGTTGTCTTGTATAAGATCAGATTCAAAGATATCACAGTGTGATTTTAAAATGTGGGATGAAGAAATTTCTAACAGACAATTTTGGCTTTAGCTGGTAAGTTAGTGAACCGGCTGTTCAGGAGGTGAAGTTCTGTTATCACAACCTCAGTGACTGGTTAATTGTGGCATGTTGTAGCTATTGAAGGCAGATACGACAAAAAATGTGCTTTTCTTACTGTATCGATGTACATTTACCTGCCAGAATCACAGTTGACTGCAGTCTTTTCAGTGGACAGCAGAGGTGACGGTCAAAGGTTTGAATGAGACTAAAAGTTGAACTTTTTCTGTTTGTGAACAAAATGAGGGAGGGAGGGAGGGAGGGAGGGAGGGAGGGTGCAGTGTGTTTGCCTGGACGGTAAAAGAGGTTATTTGATGTAAAAAGATGTTATTTGCACAGCATTCACAGAATGCAGCCCTTTTGTGTTTTTTCATTTGTATTTCTAAAAATGAAGCACTACTTCTATACAAATATAAATATATACTGTACATAAAAACACCCGAAGGAATGAATGTCAGAAATGTTAAATTATTTCAAACATTATGTTTGGCCCCCTTTGGTTCATTATATTTGTGATGCCCTGAGAATGTGTTTTTTTATCATATAATATTACTATTACTATCATAACAATTATTTTGTGTGATAATAACGATAATAATAATCCTTTTGTATCTACTCACTAACTGTAAAACCAGCTGTAGAAGTTAGTCTGGCACTGTGTGTGGCTAATCAAACATGAACCTGCTCTGTTTTCTGATTTATTTTGTCGCTCTGTGTAATATAAGTTCAAATAGAAGCAGTACTGTAGTGAGCTTGCATGGCATCAAGGACATAATAGTACAAAAAACATTATGTATTGTTTCTGTTATTTGTGCCATGAAGAAGCAGCAATAATAAAACTTTGCGTGGAGGTTTTACAGTATCCGGTCATGGGTAATGATGGGTTGGAACAACTGTGTGAATATTTGAGGTACAATTTTTTTTTTTTTAAATCTAGTTTAACAGTTTTCAGCCTGACACACTCTGCTTAGACATTGTGTTTTTACCACTGTTGTCAGCATAATGTTCATGTTGGCGCTGCTGAAATACCAAAATATGAATAAATCTGTTAAACAAGAAGGTGAACAGGGATTGAAAAGCCAACGACAGATGAGTCGTACCAGAAAACATTCCAGTTTTTAATCATCATTTAAAAAGTGGAAACAATCTATCATCTGTCTCTGAAGGGCTTTTCTTTGAGTTTTTACATTTGATTTGTTTTGCGCCTCAATTCCTTTTTTTAAATCAACTTTTTGTTTTACATTGTGCCAGCAACAGAGTGGTAAAATGTCACATGTGGTTCACACGTAAACTGTAAATGTATTCTGTCTCTGTCAGTGTACAGTATGTTTCATCTCACACTTACCCATCCAACATGCATGGTGGTTTCACACACCTGGGATTCACAGCAGAGGTCAGTGTCAAAGATCTCACGGCTCCTCCTGGAAGAAATGATCAGTTTTTTTGGTCAAAACAGCAATGCAAGACATCAAATATATATCTTACAATTCTGTTAAGGGATTTTGAGTAAATAGAAGCCTTAAAATTTTAAGGACAGATGGTCTTGTTTCTTAGACTTGATCAGGAAAGCTGGAAAATGAAAAGTCGGGGCTGAGGAAACAGATTTGTGCTGACAGTGTTTAGATTTCTGTTCTATTCACAAACTCCAGTCACAGATGAATTTATTTTCTTTACGACGTCTTTGACACTGAATTTTGCTATAAATTCCTTCGATCAGAGGATTGCGAGAGAGACAGGTTGTAAACGGCTCTCTTGCGTCCTCTCGGTGATCTGTGTTTTATCACATCAATATATTGTATGTATCTGTAAATGTTTTCATACTTTGTGAATGCTTTTTTCTGTTATTTCTTCATTAACAAAAAGGATGAGAAAATACAATCAGTAACATTTACACATGAAAATAAAATTGACAAGCTTGCCACATCGGTTCTCCTCATTCTTGTGTGAAATAAACCAAAGTAAACTGTAAACTGGGATAAACTGTAAAGAGAACATATGCTCTGCCAAATAACCCTATATGATATCTGGATAATTGATTAATGATTTTGGTAATTTTTTAAGCAAAATCTTTATTTTAACATGAGGTCACTATTTGTCTTTGTTGATAAACATATGGTCAACATTTTCAAGAGAACTTGTCATTTTGTCCTGTGTTCTAAAATCTCCAATATAGCAAAATATCCAGCTACTTAGCCTTTAAACTAAATATCACCAATGTTTTTGATATCAATAAAATGAATCACATTTTTGTTTTCACATCATATTATTGAGCCCCAGTAGTTATAAAGAAAAAAATATAATGAATAGAGTTAGTAGTAATTACCGCCCTCTAGTGGACATTTTGTCACAGTGTAAAAAGCAAAGGACGTTTACTCAATTATGGTACTGGTAATTTACTCCTTACTATACTATGAACTTTTATACCTTACTATATTGTGACTTTTTTATGGCTTACTATTCTATTACTTTTTATACTTCCTATATGGTGACTTTTTTGTACCTTCCTTTACTATGACTTTTTTATACCTTACTATACCATAACTTTTTTTCCTTACTATACAATGATGGAGGCCATCTTGGATAATACCAACCACCCTCTCCACAACATCCTAGCAGGACAGAGAAGCAGCTACAGCTGCAGCAAACATCTCATCTCAATGCGCTGCAGAACAGAGATGTTCACGAGATCCTTTGTTCCCACTGCCATCAGGCTATACAACATCTCAGCCAAAGGAATTGGACTGGTTTAATTACTATTGTTCATTTGTAATTAACTATTTTTATTATTATTATTATTATCAAAAATGAGCTAATGGACACATGAATTTCCCGTGGGGGATAAATAAAGTATGTATCTACCTATATATCTATCTATGTCTCTATCTACTTCCCTGCCTCTGGCTTCCAGTGTTCCCCATTCTTCTGCCACGTGTTTTCACCAGCCACCTGGATTCCTTGGACCCACTCCCCCTACACACATCACCATTGCCTTCGCCAAAATAAACTAACTTGGACGGTTATTGCTGGTGGATTCTGCCTTCTGTCTCTGCTCTGGGGTTCCACATCAGTTTTGACAGAGATGTAATAACTATACTATAATGTTTTTATGACATTTAATGCCTTACTATGAAAAACATTTTTTATGACTTTTTAGGCCCTATGCCTAACTGTGCTATGAGGTTTTATGATTTACTATACTATGATGTTTTTATGTCTTTTTATGACTTACTATACTATGACGTTTTTATGATGTTTCATGCCATATTATATTGTGACTTATTATAGTTATACTACGACCTTTCTGTGATGTTTTATGCCTTACCATATTATGACATTTTATGCCTCACTATACTGTGACGTTTTTTGCCATTTTTATTCCTTACTATACTATGACATTTTTTGCCATTTTTATGCCATACTATACTATGATGTTTTTTCCCATTTTTATGCCTTACTATACTGTGACATTTTTATGCCATACTATACTATGACGTTTTTTTCCATTTTTATTCCTAACTATACCATGACATTTTTTGCCACACTATGCTATAACGTTTTTTGCCATTTTTATGCCATACTATACTATGACGTTTTTTGCCATTTTTATGCCATACTATACTATGACGTTTTTTGCCATTTTCATGCCTAACTATACTATAACATTTTTTGCCATACTATACTATTACGTGTTTTGCCATTTTTATGCCTAATTATACTATGACATTTTTTGCCATTTTTATACCATACTGTACTATGACGTTTTTTGCCATTTTCATGCCTTAAAATACTATGACATTTTTTGCCATACTATACTATGACATTTTTTGCCATTTTCATGCCTTACTGT